CTTTATCAATGCAAGCTAAAAAATTTTGCTATATTTGCGAAAATCTGTAGTTAGAAAGAACTAAATTATATCAGAGAAAAAATAAATTAAATTTGCCCACGAAACCTCGCCCCACTTCTTTATAGCCCCAGCACCAGATAAGAAGAAAACCTGATTCATTCATCATTCAAGCTGTTATCTCCTCAATGACAACTCCAACAAGCCGTTGCTGAAAACTCTTTCGCTTCACCTTCGGTTCCGCAATTTAATTGCAATATAATTTCACAACTTTCGTTCAGTGTCATTCAGAGATTCGCAACAATTGCAATTCATTGTCAAGTGCATGGGCCAGAGCGTGGCTAAGCTCAGCAGCAGAGTGTGGGCCACGCCCACGTCGCGCCTCGGCTTTTGTTTGTTTAATTAACGTGGCTCGGTGCTCGGCCGCTGGCATTTGGCCAACAATTGAAGCCGCTGTTGCAGCTATATCAACAACATTTTTCTGCCAATCTTTTCTCTCGTTTTTTTTAGACGCTTTGTTGACTTTGGCCTCGCAGTCAGATAAACCAGCAGTAGAAGCTACAACAACAACAACAGAAAATACATTCGCTTTGCGTGTTTGATTCCTTCTCTCTCTATCTTTTTTTTTGCACTCTGTGTTTTACAATTTGCCAACAGTTTTTTACTTGTGTTTGCTGCACGCGTAATTAAAAATTCATCATACGCCACGTTGGCGTTGGCGTTGGAGCCGGCGTTGGTTCTCTGACGCTGGTGCTGATGCCGGTTCTGGCTCCGGCTCTGGCTCTGGTGCGAGCGCAACAAAAAACCGCACAACTTAATGAACTTTAAAGTTTTTGCAGCACGCTAATTGGAAAACAATTAAGGCACGCCAGTTAGCCGCGGAAATTAAGCTATAAAGTCAAAGGATTTCAAGGATATATCTAGCTGCTGCTGCTGCTGCATCAGCCGTGCTACTGCGAAAAGTTTACGCGAACGTTGTCAAAAACTCGGATGGGTGCAAAATTTATGGATACAGAGCAGAGCAAACTGATTGGCAACATGTTGGCATTATGGCAAATGAAACCGGAAATAATAATATACGTGAGCTTGGCTTAAAGCTCATTTGTGCTATGAAGCCTTAATGGATGGTTTTGTGAGTGAAGAGACAGAGAGAATGGGACAGAGCAAGAGAGAGACAGAAGAAGAGAGGGAGAGTGAATCAAAGAGAGAGTGAATTAGAGACAGGGTGAATGAGAAATAGAGAGCAATTGAAGAGGAGCGAAGTCAGATAGATAAAGAAAGAGCGAGAAACAGAGACGGACAAAAAGCGATAAGAAAGTGAGAAAATGAGAAAGAGAGAGAGAGAGAGAGAGATAGGAAAGGAATGATTGAGAAATACAGTGCGAGAGACGGATGGAGAAAGTGAGACAATGAAAGAGACATCGAGAAGGAGAGAGCGTGAGCGAAAGACAGAGAGCAATAGGAATGAGAGAGAAAGAGTGAGCATAAGAGAGGGATAGTGAATGTGAAAAAGTCACAAGCAACGAAATATAGATATTGAGAGGCAAAGAGAGAGAGAGAGAGAATGAGCTAGCATAATGAGAAAGACGAGGAATAAGATATATGTACATATGTATATAAAAACATAAATGATATGAAGGCTTTTCAAATATTATGAAAGCTAATTAATATAAACACATATTAGTAATATGATTAACGAGCCAAGCTCTATATAAGGGAATTATTTATTCAGCATACATGTGAACTACTTGCAATACTTGAACACTTGACTTAGCTTGCGATAATCGCTAATAAAGTCTACCAGAGAACAAGGAATGCACTTAGTTAACATCTTAATAGAAATATCAGAAGACTGCAATGGAAGCCTATAGAGCGGCATTTAATAAACTCATCTGACAAGTTTATATTACAAGACTCATCATAATCACAATCATGGTCATCATCATCGTCATCGCCATCGCCATCAAAATCCACAACATTTGCCGCTGCATGCTCATAACTTTTGAAGGCAATAGGAAACTTTGCCACTTGCCACTTGCCACTAGCCACTTTCTCTCCCCTAAGCTCTCCCTCTCTCTCACTCTCCCAATCTCTCTCGCCCTGGCTCTCTTGTAAAATATTTGCTGTTGCTTAGCCGCGCAAAAAGCCGCTGCTTGACTTTTTGACTGTTGTAGTTGTTGTTGTTGTTGCCTGCTTGAAGCTGGTTAGCCATGTTTGCTGGCCTTGTTCGCTGGGAACACAGCGAAAGTGTGGCAGAAATTTTGGAAATTCGCTCGACAAGCGATTTGGTCAGAACAAGGCCAATCGGACGCAGTCCAGCGGTCAGGTAATTGAAAAACTTTCAAGGCAAATAAACCAGCAGAAGAAAATAGACCAGAAAATTCGTTCTATTCTGGATTTTTTTCTAGACATGTTAACTGAATCAATGGTCGATTTAGGGCTGACCAGAACTAGGCCAACAGCGCATCAATTGGGTATATTGGGATTTTGTCGCCACTGCCATGACAGAGCTGCCGCAGTGGGGCAGCGTTGCAAGTGGCAACCACATCCTGCACGGCACGGCGCAGCCGCTCATGCACGTTCGCTCGCTCACACGTTCCGCTATGGCAAAAAACGGAAATGCACAAATCACGGACGAGGCAACGTGCAGTCGCGTTCTTTGTTGCACGCAGCCAAACGTAACGGAAATATGCGTGCAACATAGCATATGCGTACGAGCTAGCCAACGCGCTGCCAGCAAACAAAAATCCTATACAAAATGAACAACAAATAGTGTGAAAAGTGAAAATTGCAATACGAATTATGTTCAGCTGGCATCGATGACTAGGGAGTACCCTAGTCAAGGCTATACTTTATACCAACTTTTAAAATTGTTTAACTTTAGCTGATAAACTGAAATTATCATAGAGACGCTTTAACTTTTTATTTCCACTTTTCTTGTATTTATCTCATGACCCACTTTAACACTTACCAATTGCCTAGATCTTTCTTTCTAGTTGCACATTTTAATCCCACATTTCTCTCTCATTCCCCTTCCCTTTAATCTTCTTTAAGTCTTCTCGTTTATTAGACTAGCAAAAGTATTGTTACATTCTCTATCTATTACTATTCTCTTTCTTAATTTTTTTTAATCTATTAATCTCTCTCTTTCTATGTATTTCTCTTTCTATCGCTCTCTGACTTTCTGTCTCTCTCAGTCTATGTAACCATCTCTCGCAGTTTTTCTCCCGCGCAGCTAATCTCTATCTATATTTACGTCTTTTCTTTTCCTATAAATTTTGACTTCTTCTCTCTCTATGTTTGTTCTTTTTGTATTTTTCGATTTCTTTCTCGCATTCTTTCACTCACATCCCACAAACTAGTTCCCTCTTTCTCTGCCTTTGAGAGTATATTTCCTATTTAAAGAAACAGTCGTTCTACTCGATTCTCAAGAATCAAGGCAGAACAACGAAATACTCACTCACTCTATTCATTAAAAAAAAAGAAATCTGAATTTGATTCGATATTAATTAGAGGTCTATTGACTTTTCGTCAAATTATAAAACTGTAAGTAAGGGCCAACGACTGCACGTGGCCAATAAACACTCGGATAGCTTTAGGGTACGAGATGCACGCCCATTGCACTGCAAGTCAAACAAAAAGTGTGGAAGGCAACAAAAAAAAAGCGCAAGCAAGGCAAAGTTGACTACTGACACACATATGAATGCTGTCGGATGCTACCAGAAGTAAGTGGAGAAAGGCAGCCGGAAGAAAGGGAGACACACAGAGTGAGGAGAAAGCGAGAGGCATTTCGTTTTTACTTGATTTTTTTTTGCTTTGGTTTGGCCTGTTTACACATGTTATGGCCAACACTCCGGCGACTGCTGCTGCTGCTGTCAGCAACTTGTGCGCAATTGAAACTTATGAAATGCAAAATTCCAACACCCAAAAAAAAAAGAAGTGAGAACCTAAAGGGAGGAGCGGGAAAAACTACGCGAGAGGCAGCAATAACAAATGTGGCATCAAGAAGCACGAAAAAAAAAGGAATGTAAAAACGGAATGTAAACGTTGCAGCAACAATGCAAGTTAAACAAAAGTTTTATATATGCAACTTTCAGCGGAAACGGAAACGCATGTTGCGCCATTGCAATGGCGGCTCGGGGCCATTGTATGGCGGCAACAGCAACTGGAAAAATAAAACAAAATCCCGAATAAAATCATGAACCGTAAAAAAATGAAAATGAATATCGAGCCAGAGAATACAAATGTTGTATTGTACAGACAAGTGGCCTAAATGCAATTCAATAGCTTAACTTTTGGCCATTGTTATGGGCCGGAGCTGGATGCCCCAGAGGCGTAGCTGGGCGAGCAGCAGGAGCTGCAAAAGGAAGAGGAGTGGGGAGTTCAACGACTGGACAAACAATTGCAGCTGAAAAGCATAATTAAAGTGTCAAAGAAAGATGCGCAAGGCAATCGCCGTTAGCCAAAGCCAATTAAACGCACAACAAAGCCAAATAGTTGGGGCAACAAACGAGGCGTGGCGAGGCATGGCGAGGCGAAGCCAATCATAAAGTCACTTGCTGCACGGAAATTGCAAGTTGCGGTCGGCAATGGCACGTGGCTAAACGCTGACGCCCATAAGCATACTACTACGTACGGCTCTTGCACAGTTTTCACAGCTCCTGCTCTGCTTCACTCTCACACAAAATTCGCCAAGCCGAACGGAAATTGCAAACTGCGGCTGAGACGCCGCTGGAACTGCAAGCAGCAAACTTTTCTCTTTTATATATATTTACTACGAAGAAAATTGCGCTATTATAATTATTGAGATATATGAAGTGGGAGTGGGATGGTGCACTACGCGCCATCAGTATAGAGAACCCTTCAAGTTCTCTATATAGAAGACTCGACTCCTTACAAAATGCCTTTCTGATCCCATTTTCAATGGGAATTCAGGGCATAATGGTTTGGTTGAAAAGGAAGAGGCGTGGCAGAGCCCACAATATTTATTACACACACATAAATGTCTTTAATCGTATATTTGATACCATTCAGAGATAGCTTAAGCCAGTTCCAATTCAATGTACTGCGATTCGTGTTGCGGCTTGATCTCAAACTCAAGGTGCTGTGGCTTCTGCTGCTGCTGCTGCTGCTTGATCTCATATTGGACATGTGGTGCCTCCAGTAAATGCGGCTGCTGCTTGATCTCAAACTCCACATGCTGTGGCCTCTGCTGCTGCTTGATCTCATATTTGACATGTTCTGCTTCCTGCAGCTCCTGCTGATTGATCTCAAACTCAACATGTTGGGGCTTGTTCTGCTCCTGCTTGATCTCAACCTCAACATGTTGCTTCTTGGGCTGATCGTGTTTGATCTCCACCTCAACATGCTGCTTCTTGGGCTGATCCTGCTTGATCTCTACCTCAACATGCTGCTTCTTGGGCTGATCGTGCTTGACTTCCACCTCGATATGTTGGGGCTTGTTCTGCTCCTGCTTGATCTCAACCTCAACATGCTGTTTCTTGGGCTGATCCTGCTTGATCTCAACCTCAACATGCTGCTTCTTGGGCTGATCGTGCTTGATCTCAACCTCAATCTGCTGCTTCTTGGGCTGATCGTGTTTGATCTCCACCTCAATATGTTGAGGCTTGGGCTGATCGTGCTTGATGTGTACATCAACATACTGCTTCTTGGGCTTATCATTCTTGATTTCCACATCGATGTGCTGAGGCTTGGGCTGATCTTGCTTCAATTCCAGCTCGATATGTTGGGACTTCTCATTCTGATCAAGAGCATCAACCTGTTGATCGACCTTCTTGTTGGAGTCAGCTGGCCTTTTCTTGGCTGGCGGACCGGCACGTGAAAGGGAGAGGGCAACGGTGCTGCCCACCAGGGCAACCAATACAATCAAAACTGCAACTTTCATCTCGACACGACGGCTGTGAAATGACTATGAGATGACTGGGGCTCACATGCTATTTAAATAGGCCAAAAACGGAGCGCAGGAAATGAGAGTTCAATATAGACTGTGTTATCAGCGAGTCGACACAAAACGGCAGACAGCCACGCACCGTGCCAATAACACGGCCAATTACAAGTGATTAGATAAGATAGAGATGAGGAAGAGCGAGACTGATATTACAAGTAGAAAATTCTAATTAGGCACAGTAGAAAAAAAAAAGAACTGTCACTCTTCATTGTTGACGCTTTACTGATTGCTGCCAAGTTTGAATTTTATTTTAATGAAATGTCATAGATCCGCACCAAGTGATCCTCCCCGCAGCTGGCCAGCTGCAGCTGCTGTTGACCCGGTCGGAACTGCAGTCGCTTGACGGTCAAGTGATGGGCAAGGCTGAAACATAGATATGTTTATCAAAATACTATAAATTTACTGTTATTCAACGCTTGTACTCACTTCTTATCCAGATCGCAGCGGAGCTGCCATTGCTTATTGTGCAGCTGATAGATCTTGATGATGCCTCGCTCTGTGCCCAGGGCCAGGACATAAACGCCATCCTGCTGATCCAGAAAGCTGTGCGCAAAGCTAACAGCTGTGACAGATTCCTGCTTGAGCTCTAGAATGGCAGCTGCCTGCCAGCCATTCAGCGAGCTAGGCGCTGACTCCTGCTCCTTTGTCTTTGTCCACGCCACGACTTTCCCCTCACGCGAGCTCGTCACAAAGTATTTGCCATCGTGCGACCAGTCGCAGGACCAAATGATGCGCGTATGCACTCCATTGCTGTTGTCCGTATTGGCCACAGGCACATAACTGCCGAGGGGCTCGTCGGCCTGCTGTCGCTCGTAGAGGAACCAACGACGATCGCGTGAAACCGAGAGCAAATAACGCGCATCCGGGGAGAAACGCAGCTGGGTGACGGTCAACTGATGACCAGGCAGCTTCTGCAGCTGCTTCCAGTTGGACGTATTCCTGCAAAATAGCTCCTTGTTGAGAAAAAGTCAAGGACCAATGTTCAGGCATGAACATATGAATATACGATGATCGTATACATGCCTCAGACACACTCAGCGACTAGCAGGTAGTGCGCTGTGAAAAGATAAGGGCCACATGTACCGACTGCATAAATATACAAATGAAGACCAAGCCTTGCAACCCCAGATTCAGATTACGAAGGACGCGAGCGCTGAGCCTTACAAACTCAGCGATAGGATAAGAATAGCTAATAGACCAATGCGGAGTCTTACACACTCAGCGATAAGATAAGAATATGTAATAGCCCAATGCTGAGC